GTGTGCGCGCGCGCACGCGCGCGCATGCGTGCGTGCGTGTGCGCACGCGTGCTCACCTGTACCACCTTGTTGATATGTACTCCGTGTAGGGCTGCTTCGAGTAAACACCCCTGTGAAACAGCCATGAATGGCAAGCTGGTTGATGTGCAGGTTGGCACGAGAGAAGCCGCAGGCAGATGTCCTCTTATGTACTCTCAACATGCAGGCGCTTGTATACTCTCAACATGCAGGCGCTTGTCAACAGTGGTCTAGCCCCACAATAAGCATATAACGTCGTGCACCAGTGTGCACCTGCAGCTGCCGAAGTCTGCAAGCTTGAGGGCATCATCCATTATGAGGATGTTCTCCGGCTTTATGTCCCTGTGGAATATCCCGTTCCTGCATGCGTGTAATATGACACCGAACATCTTCAGCTTGACACTTGGTACTGGTGTGAGTGAGCTTGTTGTGGTGTAGTGAGCGTTTTGTGGTGAATGAGTTTGTTTGGGCCCTCCCGTCACCCTGAGGCTATTGACAGCTATATTTGCCCAGCAGCCCCGCAGTATTAACCCGCGCCAGCAAATCAATCTCAACACCAGCCGGCAGAGGGTACGCGATGCAAAAATTCGCGGCGGTTGCTGATTGCATCGCACCTGTGCATGTGGTCCATGGCCTTGAGCAGCTGGTACATGAATGACCTCACGCGCTCTTCAGCCACGTAGTGGCGCCGGCCCCTGATCACCTCATATATATTCATGTCCTGAACAAGGGATAGAAAGTGAGGGTTTCATTGAGGAGGTGATCAACGTAATGGATTAGCTCGTCCCAGGACGCATAGATTGCAGCGTTGACAGACATGGCCGGAGCGACTGTGTGCTGGATGTGGGTGCACAGTGCCGTTGAGTGGGGGGGCGGACGCCTGCAGTGTGTTCGCTTGATTGCAATGTAATAGCTTGGCCATTCCCAGTAGACGGCGCTACTGTGGTCGCATCACCCCTACATATAGGGGATCCAGGGGATGAGTGTACACTCATCTTAATCATACGTCCACCGCCCGAGCCACCGACCTAGCCACCCACCATGAGCTCAAACACCAGCGCCAGCCTGCCGGTGGGCTGGTCATACAGCACCTCCAGCAGCTTGATCACGTGAGCGTGGGGGCTCAGTCGCCTGAGTGCCTGGATCTCCCGCAAGTTGTTCACCTGCCAGCGCCAGCGAGGCATGCACAGGCACGCACGGGTCCTCGCTGCAATTCCTGGGCACCTGACGCCGCCGCGCCTCACCGTCTACCCTGCACCCGCAGCCGCCATGGCCGTATGAGGCTTCAATGAGTCTCAAGGTGCATCAACATGTTCACAACACAGCGCCGCACCTGGTCGAGGGAGTCAAACTTGTTCTTCATGCACTTGATGGCCACATAGCGCCCGCTCTTCACGCACTGCGCCTTGAGGACCTCGCTGAACGTGCCCTCCCCCTTCTTGGCCACCAGCCGGTACTCTGCAGCGCGCATGTGTAACAGATACCGCCCAAGGTGCAGCAATGAAACGCGGCCTTGACGCCCATGTCGCCGCCGCTGCTGAACATGCCATGAACGGCCACATGGAGCATTCCCGTATGTTTCCAAAAGCTTTGTGCAAGGCATATGCCATCATGGATGCGAGGTACGGCTGGAGGTCTAGCCCTCCGTGCCGGGCAGCAACTGCATCATGCTGCGCGCAACTGGGCATCGACAGGCTGCATGCAGCACACAGTGAAGCCAAGCGCCAGCGCGCAGTCCAATGTGCGCACTCACTGTGCATCTTGCTCCCAGTTCGAGCGAGCTACACGACACCTTAAAGCTCAAACGCGCGTCAACAACATCTTATCACTCGGATGCTTCAAGCGCTTTATCGCGCGAGGCCCATCTCCATCATTTTTGTGGGCCACGCGCGAAAGCATGAAACAGAATGGTAGAATGCGGTGATATCACTGATATTGTACGCGTCGCAGATATCATGGCAACTGACGTCGAAACATCGTCCACCTCTCTTGGACCGAAGTCAACGCTCCACTCATCCACTGGGTTGCTGATGAGTTGCAGAACGACAAACACCTGACAGTGTTTCGATGTGTTGCTTGATTTGTGACTGGCTGAGTACGTCGCTGAACCTTGTGTTGCAACATCCCCGCTATCACCACCATGACCATAGATGCAGCCAGTGCCTCCCTGGGGCAGCTGCCTTGACACTCATCACACGGGAAAACCCCACCCCAGATGGGCACCTCCTCGACAGCACTTGGCCCCACAACAGCGCAGATGCGCCCCTCCCGAAATATTCACCTCTCACATAGTCGCACAAACAGCCGGATGGCACCTCGGCCATTGCAAGCATCATATCAAATGTCTCCAAACTGTTACTCTCTCAGAACGGTCGCTCATGACAAGCACGGTCGCTCATGACGAGCACGGTTGCAATTCATATTTGAGCCTGACAAGGGTCCCATTGCGACAGTTGTGGACCTGTGTGCCTTAAGCATGAGACGCACTGGCCCCAGGTTGACGCTGCCGCCTGGTGAATGCACCGGGCGGAAAGCTGCTGCTGCGCGGCGAAACAGTACCGACTGCCGTGGAGACTGCACAAGCGAGTGGTCACCGCCCTCCACCCGACACCACGCCGCGCAGGTGGGGGTGTGCGGAAAGGCACAGACGACTCATAAAACCCAGCACGCGCCCCGCGCCGCCGCCGCGCCCAGGAAGCACCAAGAGCCACGACGGGCCACAGGCAAAAGACAACCCCACACACCGCGCCAATCCTGTCCTCCGCGGCGCACTGGCACGTGACATCCCCCCCTCTCCAGCTGCCAGCGTCAGTCAATGAGCTCGTCGTCGTCGTCCGCGGGCAGCGGCGCATTGACGGCCTCCGCTAGCTCCCGCTCGTTGCGCTCCTGCTCCGCCAGGTCGATCTGCACCTCGGGGGGCGGCAGCGCCACCTCCTCCACAAACGACAGCGCGGGGTCCCTGTTGGAGGAGAGGTGCGATTGAAATTGCAGGGGTGGGAGGGGCCGCGAGGCTGGACGGTAGCCAGGTGTATGCGCATTTGCGAGGCGACGCGGAGGGTGCCAGGCGACGTGCACTGGGACTGGCGGCGCGCAAAGTATCTAATTGCAGAACGCACTGCTTGCATCTCTGGCGGGCAGGGTCCCCAGCAAACCCAGCTTGCTTGCCATGAGGTCAACAACAAGAAAGCCTTGAGCCTTCTAGGATGAGTGCACCCCTCGCCGAGCCCCCAGACACCCACCCAACAAGCTTGCGTGCCAGGTAGAGGAAGGGCTTCTCGTAGTTGTAGTTGGATTTGGCGCTGATCTCGTAGTACTGCAGGTTCTTTTTCCGGTGGAAGGTCACCTGCTTGGGCTTGACCTGGCGGTTCTTGACATCCACCTTGTTCCCGCACAGCACGATTGGGATGTTCTCGCACACCCTGAGGGGTGGAGGTTGGATCAGATAAGGGTGGCGTGTGAGACCAAAAGGACCCATTGCGCACGCACCTGCTGCTCTGTAAGTGGCGCGCATTCACTCCCTGTGGTCAGCCATGTCCAGCGCCTTAGTAAGCAGCTGCAGCCAGACCCGACAGCCGCCGTGTGCCTGGCCAGCTGCCAGGGATTCTATGTCCCCACCATTTGTGTCTCAACTGCGACTGCGCGTCTGTGTCTGCCTTTGACAGCCCTACTCCAGCAGGCTGCGCGTCTGCTGATCTACTCGACCCGAGCGAGCCACACCGCGTCCCCGCACCTGCATAGGTCTCGGTGCCACGTGGGAACGTTCTTGTAGGTTAGCCGCGACGTGACGTCAAACATGATGATAGCGCACTGCCCGTGGATGTAGTAGCCGTCGCGCAGGCCGCCAAACTTTTCCTGGCCGGCCGTGTCCCAGCAGTAGAAGCGGATCTTGCCGCGGTTGGTGGTAAAGTCCAATGGCCGCACCTCCACGCCAATGGTGGCTGCGGGGGCAGGCAGAGCTCTTCAGAGTTGAGAGCGTGACTTTGGGCATGCTGATGGCACGTGAAGCTCCGTGGCGCAACAAACGTACAAACGCACTGATCCGCTGCGGCCAAGCGTGCCTGCTGCCCCCAAGCGGTGGCCATTGCCCACCCACGCCCGTGTCCATGCCAGCCCTCACGTTCGTACTTCTTCTCAAACTCGCCGGTGATGTGACGCTTCACAAAAGTGGTCTTGCCTGAGCAGCGGTGGCAAGCGGGCCGCATCCGCTCCATGGCTGCGCAGGACTCGTGGCGGTGCGAGGGCCTCGGGCCCCAACACCAGCCCCCTTCACCCATCAAATCCTGTTTCTATGCATCAGTGTGCCTTCGCTGCTTGAATGTCAAATCAAAAAGCTTCCTCCAGAACTCTCCCCGGGTGATCTGAAGGCGTGATCGCGTTTGCCAGCCCTTCAGGAGTCTTGCAAGCGCGGGTGTGATCCCCAAAAATCCATGCACCTGTGCCGCCATCGCCCACGAGCACCAGCTTGAAGCAAGGCACGCCTGCGGGCGCCTCCTGGCCTGGGAGCGCCTGTGATGCGCGGTGGGGTCGTGCGATCTCCACAAATCGACATGGAGAAGCCATAAATTGCTCCAGACAGAAGCAAAGCTCACCCCTGTCGTGGCCATGCTGCTTGCTGCCGCCTTTGTGTGCTTGCTGCGCCGGACGACAGTAGAGTCTGCGTGGATGCACGGCTTCCTTTCTATGCAAGAACGTGTTATTGGTGCGTATCTTGATCCACTGAATGTGCCGTTCCGTTCAAAGTATGCAAGATGCGGGGCGGTTGCGAAGCAAGAAGCGGTGTCGAGTGGCCACCGGAGGAGTGTGTCGGTCGCTCTCCTCCCCGAGACAGACCCCCGGCAGCCTCCGCGCAATCGTATTTAAACTCAACTCTTATTGCATATTGAGTAAAACGTCAGCTCCTGCCGTCTGCTTGGCTGGATCTAATTCACTCGCTGTGCTCCCTCCCGACCAGCAAGCGGGATGGCGACGCTCCGCCCAGGACAGATGTTGCAGGGCCCTCGCATGGCATCCTTGCGCGGCCGGAGCCGCGTCTTGGCGACGGTGCCGCGGGTGAGCACCCCTGAATGATTGAGCAGCACTTGCTGCACTGAGGGGTCGATGGACCGCGGGGTGGCGTGCCCGCGGCTGAACCAGGCAGCATGCTAATGGAGGATGTATCGCAGGCCGCCGCTGCTGAGCTGGTGATCCCGAGCAAGGAGCTCGTTACGCCCAAGTACTGCGAGAGCATCCACCAGACCAAGCGCAGGCCGACCAGGACTATCAACGTGTGATTTGTATCTTATTATTGCGATGCGTTTAGGCATTGCCGCAATTGCCTGCACATACGTCAGGCACGGCGAGCACGCAGACTTGCTTGCGCGAGCACGCTTGCGCTGCACGCATCACGCACAGCCCTTGAACTCTGAACTCTCGGTGCCCGTTGGCATGCAACACTGGCCTCCCGGCGCCCCTTGGCATGCATACCCGTAGATTGGACCTGTCAAGGTGGGCAGCGAGCACAAAATTGCGCTGCAGACGATGACCACCACCGACACACGCGACGTCGCCAAGACCGTGGAGCAGGTGCCGTGGGCATGTGCAGGCGAGGGTGTGTGCTGCGCGATGCATTTGTGGACGTGGAAGGGCATGGCTGCCGGGTAGAACATACCATGTCACTGGCTGTATGGTGCGAGGGGTCGCACGATGGTAGCTGGGTGCTGGGTGCAGGCTCGCACACAGGTCGCAGGCTGTTTGCGGCTTGAGCAGCCTGGCTAAGCAGATTTTCACGCTTAGGTCAAGTGACCAGCTGTGCAGGGGCCAAGGTATTGCAAGTGCATGTTACACCAGCAACGAACGCGGCATACGCCCGCGCTGCAGCAATCAGAGTGACGACGCCCCACTCAGGACCGCCCCTACATGCCACCAACACCCCACCTGCCGACTGCCGCTTCCTCACCGCAGGTCAAGCGCTGCGCGGACGCGGGCGCTGACATCGTGCGCATTACGGTGCAGGGGCGCCGCGAGGCGGAGGCGTGCATGAAGATTCGCGAGCAGCTGTTCAAGGACGGGTGAGGGCCGGGGGCGTTGCAACCTCTCTGCGAGCAGGCGACGGTACCACATAGCAGGCCGCCCCTGCGCTAGGAAGGTGTGATGCACATGTGTGTGTGCATGACTTCGCACCATTGAAAACAAGCAGCCACGCACGTCACCTCGCCTGCCCTCACCTGCTTGCCCGCAGCTACGACACCCCCCTGGTGGCCGACATCCACTTCCAGCCCGCGGTGGCCATGATGGTGGCGGAGGCCTTTGAAAAGGTGGGCGGGCGCGGTAGCGTTTCAGGGGTGGAGGCGGTGGAATTCAGGCAGGACAAGGGCGGGGGCGGTCGAGTTGGGCGAGGTAGACGTGGGTGTTGCACAGGTAAAGCAGCTGTGGCGAGGCGCGCACGGCAAAGCGAGGGGGTCTAAGACGGGGGCGAGTGCGCAAAAGAAGGTTCAGAAGGCATCGAAATGCGCGGCGGAGATGAACGGGACTAGAGTTTAGGGCGCTACCGCAGCGGACGCGCCAGTGGAGGGAGAGAGCGGAGGCGGGAAACAGGTTGCGGACGGGCTTTTGGAATGGCACAGCGGCCTGCTCATCATGCGCGTCGTTTCGCACATCAAGGCCTCTATTTTGTGTTCATGCGCTCACATTAGCTCGCCGTTCTCTGTGTGTTGCCTGCCACCAGATCCGCATCAACCCCGGCAACTTTGCCGACGGCCGCAAGACGTTTGAGGAGATCAACTACGACGACCCCAAGCAGTTCGAGGCCGAGAGGGCCGACATTGAGGAGGTGGGTTG